GTGATCGATATCTGGTCACTGGACCCAGACGGCTCTGGAGGAGACAGTGAGGCTGGTAACTCTGCACAGCCCTGCCTCACTGTAATCCAATTGACTTGCACATCACGGCATCACCTTCCTGATGTCACAGTCCTCTTTGAGAACGAAAGACACACATCATAAGATGGACCACAGCACTAGGACCTGGCCTTGGACACCTCTTGGTCATCATGGAACCCCTCCAGCCGAATCAATTCCCTCAATTGTAAAAGAGAAATACAATGCCCCTCGTGCCAACACCCCAGAGTTCTAGGATCAAAGGGCAAAATGCAAACCACTCTGCAAATCTAAAGGATAATCAGCATGGAGTGTCATGCCAAATGGAGGAGGAGACCTACTTCCTGAGGTCAGTGAGCCCAGAACGATGCACTAACCTTGCGGCTCTCTCCATGGCAGCTCCAACCGCTAAGTGAGGACATGGAGCGCCACCTGTTGGCCTTCTGGGTCAACCCTAACCTCTAGGTGGTGGGTTAGTGGGTCAGTGGGTGACTGAAGTAAGGAAGTCTTCCTTGGTGAGGAAACATCCACCACCAATGCCCATTAGCCACCACTCCCTGCCTTAGTTTTAGGGAGATTCGAGGGCCACTGAGAGGGGGAGGTGCTGGGCCCAGGACCACACAGTGGGGCAGTGCTGAAGGCTGAATTCAAACTCGGGTCTTCCTGTCTGGTTACCTCTGTACCCACTGCACCACACTGCCTCTCTCAATAGCTCAGTATTCTGTTCCCAACCCCTCCTCCACCTGGGACCACAGCAGAGAACCTGGAATGTCAGGAATCTAGATTGTATTTCTTTAAGAGTACAATGACACCAATGTGGGAGATCCGTGCAACAACTGGGTTTTTATATCTGATGTCCAGGGCAATCTATCAGCAAGCATGTCTCAAGCACCTACTGTGTGCCAATCCCTGACAACTTCAAGGAGCCCACGGTCTAGAGGGTTACACATGACAACTGTGTGAGATGGCGCTGATAGAGCCTTTTAAAGTCTGAAAAGAGCTTTCCACCCGTCATCTCATTTCATCCTCACGTCAGCTGGGGAGCCACAGCGCACAGAGCGCCAGGCCTGGAGCCAGGAAGACTCATCTTCCTGTGTCCAAATCCAGCCTCAGACACTTACTAGCTGTGTGACCCTACGCAAATCTCTTCACCCTGTTTGCCCCAGTTTCCTCCTCTGTACAATGGGCTGCAGAAGGAAATGGCCCACCACTCCAGTATCTCTGCCAAGAAAATCCATATGGGGTCACACAGAATGGGACGTGACTGAAAAACAACTGAATGACAACATCCAATCCTCACAACAACCCTGGGGAGCACGTGCTGTCAGTATTCCCACTTTACAAATGAGGAAATTGGGGCAGACTTAGTTAAGAAACGTAGGGGAGCACAGCTAGCAAGGAAGCATCTAAAGCTGGAGGTGACCTCCGGTCTTCCTGACTACAATTCCAACCTCAACCCCCGGACGAACAGCTGCTTAAAGACATAGTCAGTAAGAAGCTACATCCACGCAGTATAAATGGGAGGCAGTCCTCAATGGGACAGGCTTCCTGCAGAGGGTCGTGTTTGAGCTAACTCTTGGAGAAGGGGAGGAGGGAGAGCCCTGCAGGCCTAAGGGGACCACCAGTAAGAAAACACAAGCTGGAAGCCAGGGTCCCAGGATGGCGGAGGAGACCGGGGGTCCAAGCTGTGAAAGGCCTTAAATTCCGGTGAATATTCTCAGTTGAAAACACTGAATCTAGTTCAGGCATGAAAACTGGCCTTTTTTGGTTTTGTTTTTGTTTTTTAAGAAAGGGATCTGGGAGGGGCAGCTAGGTGGCACAGTAGAAAGAGCTCCAGCCTTGGAGTCAAGAGGACCTGAGTTCAAATCTGGCCTCAGATACTTGACACTTACTAGCTGTGTGACCTTGGGCAAGTCACTTAACCCCAACTACCTTACCCAAAAAAAAAAAAAAAAAGGCATCTAACAAGGTTTGCCTGGTACATAGTAAGGCCTGGATAAAGGTGTCCTGGAACACTGGGTTTGGGTGTTCAGGAGTCACTCCCCTGCCTTGTGCAGCTGGATGCCAAGCGTCTGTGCAAACAGCTGTGATCCTGGGCAGTCCCCCACTGTATCTAGCAGGGTCCCCCGGCTGTCATGGATGGGACACAAATGGTGAGCCTCTGAAACCAGATGGGCATCTCCCAATCAACCAAACTGAAAGCCAGAGAGGCTGAGTGACAACCAGAGACGCCCCTGCTACCAGGATGGAAACACAGAGCAGGGTATTCAGGGGAAAACTGTCTTAAATAGATCACCCCACCTGACTGCAGATTAGCTCTGACCCCTGGTCAAGCAGGCCTGGCAGGAAGGCGGAGAGCCTGGAGGAGACGGACCACAGTGAACTCACTCTCTCCTCTGTGGGCAGCCCTGCACAGGGGCCTTGGGCCCTCCTTCGAGGAGGCCCCTGGGCTGAGAGACACTGGATAACAGAAGCAGAAGGGGATCCATGGAAGCCTTGAAGAGCGGCCCACCAGGCCTCCAGGCTCTGGGAGTCCCTCGGTGTGGGCAGCTCCTCTCCAATGGAGGACGGAGGAGGCTGGTGATCAACTGGTCTTGGAGAGCTGAAGGTCCCAGGGCCGGGGAGAGCCACGGACTCTTTTCCAGGCTTCTCCCCGCTAGTTACGCTGCCTCTCAAGGGAGGACAGACAAGATTCCCCTAAAGCCCGATCCCACGACCCATCAACGTTCTAAGTCTGACAGGCTTCAGCTCCCCTGAAGACTAGGACGTTTTTCCTTAAGCACTGGCATCAGAGAAGCCGAGTTCAAATTCCCCCTCGGCTCCTCCTCACTCTCTGCATGAACTCGGGGCGCCCCTCGCTGCTCAGCGCCCCAGTTTCCTCACCTGTACAATGAAGGCAATGCATCAGGTCACCTCCAAGGCCCCTCTGGGTCTAGATCCTGTGACCCCACTGTACAAACACTTTGCCAAATAATACTTAGAACACTGAAAGATTTAAGAAGCCAACTCACCATCTCAGGATCGGTTTGGTTAAACCTACAAAAAGCTACCGACGACAAGTCAAGCCAACACGCATTTATTAAGCACCTACTATGGCCAGGCCCTGTGCTGGGCAACCACAGGAAGGCAAGCCCCGTGCCTGCCCTCCAGCGGAGGGGACAACATGCAAACAAGCTGGGGGAGGGGGCTGGGATGCGATACGTTGAAGGTGAAATTCATACAGATCTCAAAAATTCTTTCCAACATTAGATACGTTAGGATAAAAAGAAAAGAACAGTTCCTTTATTCTAGGGAAAAGGTATTTTCTCCTAGTTTAATTGTTTTCCCATGGCTACCATTCAGCATCCTAACTCTACTAAGTAACTGCCCTGCTCCAGACAAAAGAAAAAGGGAGGAAGGGGCAGCTAGGTGACACAGTGGATAGAGCTCCAGCTTTGGGGTCAGGAGCACCTGAGTTCAAATCCAGCCTCAGGCACCTGACACTTACTAGCTGTGTGACCCTGGGCAAGTCACTTAACCCTGATTGCCTCACCCCCCCCAAAAAAAAGAAAAAAAGAAAGAAAAAGGGAGGAGAAGAAGGTCTCTTGTCAGCCCCGACCCAATGGGCTGGCATCTCGACTACCTGCAGTGTGACAAATACAAACTGACAGCCAGCTCCTGTTCTGGGCAGGTTACCAACTCCCCTGCTGAGGACGTCCCAAACCTGTGGGCATTTTCTAAGGATAACATGAACCTTTTAACCCTCTTAACCGTATTTTTTCCCTTCAGACCCTTACTGCAATGTGAATGACGTTAAGGCCCTACAATCACAGTCGCTGCTACTGCTGAGGAGCTATGTGACGGCAAGGAGACGGCCAGTTAGCAGGATCTCCCAGCCATCCCCCAGAGTCTAGGTGACCCCATCCCGCACCATTTCTAGCCTCGGGGATTCGGGCCCTCACTGGCTTCACCATATGGCGAGGCTCTCCACCCCTCACAGATGGCCACTGCCTCGAAGGACAGGAATGTGAAGCTCAGCTTCTTGGGAGGGTCCCTCATTAGAGGGCACAGAATCAGCACACAATGAATGCCCTTTTTAACCTGGACCACTTTCTCTATCAAATCATGTGGGCAGCTGTCTTCATTCTATTCCTTAGATTGCGGACATGAGTTTTTTTAACTGAATCTAAATACATTCTCTCCCTTAGTAAACCTATTGGAAATCATTAGTTCATCAACGTAGTTCAGGGGGAAAGTACTGTATCTAGAGTGGAAGATCTGTGCTTAGACTCTAGCCTTGCTACCTCTGACCTGGGTGACTTAATCTCTGTGGGCCTCAGTTTCCACAAATGAAAAATGAGAGGACTGGACTAAAATGTCTCTAAGATCCCCTCCAGCTTCCATCTAAATGCAGGAGATTTGCCAAATAACTTTAGAAAACATTTACAGAAGAACAGCTTAGTTTATTACTAAACTTTGAGTTTTATTTCCTGTGTGCTGTCCATTGGTCAGAAGAACAGCTGAGGGAACGTGAGCTCAACTGAGAGAAGGAAGATGTAGTTTGGGGTCCCAGTTCTACCACCTTCTAGCATGTGGTTGACCCTAGTGACCTCAGTTTCCCTATTTATAAAACAGGGATCACAATACTAATACTTTTTTTATTTTAAATGTTTTGTTTTCTGTTCAGTCCCAGATTATCTCCTTCCCTCCACCAACCACCCCCACCTACTGAGAAGGCAAGAAATACGACACTCAAAGACACCAGAGAAAAAGGAAAAGGCCCCCAAGTACCAAACTAGTCACAGTAGCTCTTTGTGTGATAGCAAAGAACTGGAAACTGAGGGGATGTCCATCAACTGGCATGATATTTAATCAAGTTAATAAATTACTTTATTTAGAACAGTAACAGCTAATTTTAGGAGTGTCTAGCATAGGGAAGATATTATTATTGCAACACATCTTTATCTTATTTTAAGAATACTTACCAAGGCAGGCATAAAGACCCTGACTTATCCAGGCTAATATGGCCAGAGTAATGAGGTCCCCAAAACTGGCAGCAATCGGAGTGGCCACATTGTCCGGGTTGATACCCGTCTTCTTTGAGCCAACGATGACACCAACCATTATTATCCCTAAAAGAAATAAGGTCAGCTTATCATTCATATCAAGAATCCTTTTCCTGTGATTCAAAAAAAACCTTCAGATAGCTAGTGGGTAAACTATATGGCAAACTGCAATACAAGCATTCATCACTGGAGCCAAACAACCAATCTGCCTCGATTAGATGACTTAAGCAAAAGCCGTAAAGAAAATGTTTTGGCACAAATGCCTTCTAAAGTTTCCAAATGGAGGTCACTGTTGAGATAAACATTTTCTTTCACCCACTATTTCCTGAGATGTTCAGTGATGAGTTATATAGTAGGAGACAGTTACTTTGTAAATCTGGAGAAACAAATTAAATCCATGCAGATGCTAAAAAACAACATTCAGATGGAAAATTCAAATTTGCTACGATGTGTATCTTGGATTTAATTTATGCAAGGGCCTCATGGTCCAATATTCTTATTCCAAACCTCAAAAGAAAGCAGTAATTGGGAGCAACAAAGAAAAGTGGGTCATGTTTACATGTGTGAGCAGCTAGGGGGAAAAACAGTAAGAAGTCAATCTGTTTATACTGATCTAAATTTTGAAATATTTACAACAAGGAAGTAATGATGAATCCTAGATGGCAAAACACATACAATGAACTTTGAAAACTCTATTTTAAGATACTCACTTTGGGGAAATAAATCAGCAGCCAGAATTACAAAGGCATCCCCATCAGTGGAGAGTTCAAGAAGAGGCTGAGACATCACAAAAGGAATTCCCGTTCAGGTACAGGTGGGACGAGGTGACCTGTTGGGTTCCCTCCCACTCTGAGACACGACAACTAGGCAAAAATTACTGGGGGCCACTGTGACATTTGTGGTTAGATTAAGTCTGACACAAAGCAGCTCTGTGCAGATAGGGCACACTTAATAAATGGCTGCCCAATCGTATTTAATAGATACCGAAGGAATGTCATGATCAACATATAACAGGGTTCAAGTTTCCTATGGGATCTAGATGGAAAATTCAATAGTGCCCTGACCTTGTTATTAGGAAGACTCGAATTCAAATCATCCCTCAGACTCTTCCTAGCAGAGATGCCCTAGGCAGGTCACTCAGCTTCTCTCCTCTCCAGGTTCATCTACAAAGTGGGGGTGATGACAACAGCCCCCATGTCACAGGGTTGTCACAAGGCCTCCTTACAGTGTGCTACAAACCTTCAAGTACCGTCTCTGTAAATGTCGCGGCTGCATCATCGGCAGCTGCTGCTGCTGTGGTCAGACACCACAAACTGAGGTGTGGCCAGTGGAAAAGTTTGATCTTACACACTGATCTCACGCCTTGTCATCATCAGGGTGCTTGTAGTCGCTCACACACCAGAGCACAGGCCAGGAGAGGAGTAAACACACTCTCCCTAGATCACACCACCCTGGAAGAACCAAAAACTCACAGGTCCCCAGAATTACCTCTGAAAGCAGCTGCACAAAAACCTGACGCTTGGGACGGTGCCCCCTCCACTCCAGAAGCAGAGCCCCACTTTAGCATAGAGTTAAAAGTCAAGAAATACGCCAGAAAAATGAGAAACAGCAGAAAAAGATGCTGCCTATACAAAGTTACTATGACAGGGAAGAATAAAACAAACTCAGAAGAAGACAACAAAGTCAAAACTGCTACATCCAAAGCTGCAAAGAAAAATATGAATTGGTCTCAGGCCATGGAAGAGCTCAAAAAGGATTCTGAAAATCAAGTAAGAGAGGTAGAGGAAAAATTGGGAAAAGAAATGAGAGTGACACAAGAAAATCATGAAAAAAGAGTCAACAGCTTGGTGAAGGAGACACACACACCAAAAAAAACAAAACAAAAAACTGAAGAAAACACCACCGTAAAAACAGAATAGGCCAAATGGCTTGACTAATGTCAAGAGCCTAACTGGTCTCTTTCCCCCAAGTCTCTCCCGCCCACCTTCCTGGCAGCTGAAACACGGCTCTGAGCCGTCGCTCTCGAGGTCAAGAAACTCCTACAACCACAAACCCTGGGTCTAGCTTTCAAAGCCTTTTACAAACGGGACTCCAACCTGCTCTTCCAGCCTCACGACATACTACTACTCCCCTGGACTCACTCTAAGGTGCAGCCAGACTGGCCTCCTCACTGCTCCTCAACTGGAAATATTCCATCTCTTCCCTCCAGCCCGTACAGAGGCTGCTCCTCCAGGACAGGAAGGCCCTCTTCCACAGCTCCCCTTCCCTAACTTTCTTCAAAGTTCAGCTGAAGGGTCGCCTCTGCCAGGAGGCCTTCCCTGATCCCCCTCAGACTGGTCAGTGCCTTCCTCCTCCCACAACATCTCACAGAAATGTGCCTTGAATTTACATGGTCTATTTTCTATCTACTGACAAGTGTCCATGTTGTTTCTCCCAAGAGAAGGTAAGCCAAGCTTCTCGAGGGCAGGGACTGTTTCACTTTGGTCTTTATGCCCCCACAGCACTTAACACACAGTGAGAGCTTAACAGAATGTTTGTTGATTGAATGGCTGACTGATCCGCTTCACTTGCCTTACTCTTCCTGAAGCCAACTCTCACCTCCGCTATACCCTCCCGCCGCCCCATCCCCCAGGCCCCTCTCTTCTCCCACTCCATCATGGCCCTGATCTACACTCACAGTCTTGGTCTTACAGCTGACCGTCCCTCATTCCCTCACCCGTCTGTCCCATTACCCCCTACACATCCAGCCAGACCTGGATCCCCACCACTCACTTTCTCCACGTGCTCCTAAGCCGCTGAACATGCGGTATCACTTCTTCCTCTCACTACAAACTCCCAGAAAGAAGTGTCTCCATGTGCTGCTTCTGTTTCCCCAACACCCTCACCCTTCTCCATCCTTCAATCTGGACTCCAGGCCCAGAACTTTAGGACAGCTGGTCATACAGTCTCAGACTACACCAATAATCTCTCAGACGCTCGATCCGGGGCCCTTTTTTCAGCCTTCAGTCCCTCTGACCTCTCGGCGCATACGAGATTCTCGGCCCCCCCTTCTTCCCAGAACCCTCTCCCCTCTGGGACAACACTTCACGCCTGGCCCTGCTCCTCGCAGTCTCACCAGCCCTTCTTGGTCTCCTTTGGTAAATTCGCTCATGTCTCTTGTTTTCTCAAGAGGACATTTTCCAGGGCTCTGTCTCAGACTCTCTTTCCTCTCTAACAATCTTGTAATCTCCAGATTATACTTGAACCCCCATGAGCCTGGGAGATCTCCAATGAGGCATACCTCCAATTGGGTATATTGTCCTAATCGTTCTGTCTCTCCCCAACATCAGACAGAGATTCTCAGCCGCCTACTAAGCAACCCCAGCACACAATGGAGACAGTGTGGGGCAATATAAAGAACAATGAATTTGGAGTCAGAAGCCATAGGGCCAACTCTCAGCTCAGCTGCCTACTACCTGTAAGACCCTGAAGAGGCAAATCATGAAGTCTCTTTGGGCCTCAATTCCTCCTCTATAAAATGGACAGTTGGACTAGACAAACTATAAAGTCTTGCCTTCATGCAGCTAAGCGGTCAGTGAAGAGAGTACCAGGCTTGGAATCAGGAAGACCCGAGTTCAAATCCAGCCTCAGACATTTACTAGCTGGGGGACTCTGGGCAAATCACTTAACTTCTGTTTGCCTCAGGTTCCCCAATGGTAAAGCGAGGATGATAACAGCACCCTCCTCCCAAGATTGTTTTGAAGGTCAAATGAAATGAGACCAAATGAGGACCAAATATTTATAAAGTGCCCAGCACAGTACCTAACACATTTGTGGTGAATCAGTCACTTTGGTCGTGTCCAACTCTTCGTGACCCCATTTGGGGTTTTCTGGGCAGAACTACTTGGCAGTTTCCATTTCCTTCTCCTGATCATTTTACAGATAAGGAAACGTATGATGCGGCAAAAAGGGTTAAATGACTTGCCCAGGGTCACACAGCTAAGTGTCTGAGGTTGGATTTGAACTCTGTAAGATGAGTCTTTCTGGTTCCAAGTCCAGCGCTCTATCCACTGCACCCCCTCGCTTGCCCCACCTAACACAAAGTAGGCACGTAATAAATTCTTCCTTCCTTCCTTCCTTCTCCCTTCTAAATCTGATACCCAGGTCTTTAAATTCATCAAGTCCAAAATATAGTTCCTTATCTTCCCATTACCTCCAAATACATTCAGATCTCTCACATCTCTCATTTTCTTAATCCCTCACCCGATGTCTTCTCAAGCTGTGGTTCTACGTCAGTTCTCCAACCCTCCACTTCTGCAGATACTGTAGTGGGCCGCCTTCATTTCCTCAGCCCCTGTCCTGTTTCCTGCAGTCTTGCTTCTAAGCCCATCCCTCCAGCTCCAGACCAGCTATCTCCAGGGCTGTCCATGGCCTCCACACCGCTCTCGATGGCCAGCCTCCAATGCTTGCCCCTCTCCCGGGGTCGCTGCTTTCTCTACTCTCTTCCCACTGCCCAACTGCTCCTGATTCAGCTTCACTGGTCCTTGAGCTATCTCGAAGCCTCTGTCTCACCACTTCCTTTGTTCTTTTTCCTCTCTCTCCTTTGCAGATCTCTTCTATTCCCACAGATTCAATTATGAACTGTATTCAAATCAATTCAATTCACTAAACCCTGTGTGCCAGGTATGTGGATGATGGGCTATGTCTCTCCCCTGAAATCTCTCTCCACATCCTCACCTGGCTCCTGCACATCTCCCCCTAAACAATCAACAATCACCTCAAGTTCAACAGGTTCAAAACAATTCAACATTATCCCTGTTTCCTCTGCCTCCCGCCCTCCATCATCCTGCCCCTCATCTTGACCTCCCTATTTCTGCTGACAGAACCACCATCTTCTAGCTACCAAGGTTCAAAATCTTGGAGTCCTGATGGATTCTTCCCCCTCCTGCCCCACACACAATCAGCTGTCACGTTCTGTCCATTCCCCTTCCTCAATATCCCTCCTATCTGGCTCCTTCTCTCCAATCCCACGATCACCACCCTGGTTCAAACATGGCCTCCAACCCAAACAACTCAATTAGTCCCTTCAGCACTCTCCCCGCTCCCAATCTCTTGACTTTCCAGCCCATCTGTGATACAACCACCAAAACAAAGATGCAGGCTAAATGAACCTTGGCATTCCTCAGTTTATAAATTTTCCTTGACCCCTCAATGATTAAAATGTTAACTTTGAAGAGTGATGCTTCAGGGTTGCTACAATCTGGAAAAAAGTTTCCATTTTTATTAAGTTGTTAAGTTTCCAGAGGTTACCTCAAGTGGTTTGTTTGCTTACGTGTTGACTCAGCCCTGAAATCTTTTAGGTTGAGATGACAAATATTTTAAATACTAAGAGACATGGCTTCGTGGTTTTTACTGAAAGATGTTTCTTTCCTGGAGACTTTACATTAATGAATAAAAATGAAGAAAGATAACACCATAGCTACATTCCTTCTAAGGTCCCTTCCAACTCAGATTCTATGACTCAAAGCAAAAATCTGTTTTAGTGGATTAATTTTTAAAAATCAGGGACCTTGAGAATTCTGTAGCCAACAACACAGTGTGGGAAGCATGCAGTCACATACTATCATTGCAGAGAAATGCTTCAAAGTTTCTGTAAAACTGAAACTTTTTTTCTTCTACCACAGGAACCGTCCTTGAAACTGTGCAGAATTCCTGGAATCCTTGTTGTAATTCAAATATGCTTTGCCAGGAAAACCTCTGGACATTTTCCATCAAAGCTTTCTCAATTAATTTAACTGAAACACCCTATCAGGAAACTCGCTACTTTGAGCATTTTCTTGAACCTTTTTCAGGATTGTCACTCGTGCCACAAAGAGGTCCAAACTATACCAGGCTACTTACAGCCACCTGTCAAATTCCTAAGGGCTAAAAAGGGACATTTCAAATATGGAAAACAAATATAATTTCAACCACAAATGAAAGAGACATGAATTATTGATTGCTGTTTAAAACCAAAGGTGTTTACAAAGCAGTTTCTCACCCTGCAAGAGGGATGCAATAAAGGCAGTGGCCACGCTGCTGGCACACAGTAGGATGGAATGATCGAGGCGGTATCTCCCTTCTGGAATCCAGCCCAGAATGATGGCGGCCACCGCAGCTAGAAAACCAACTACCGTCGCCTGAACCTGAGGAGAAACAAGATTCCATTCAAACAGGAGGCTCCAGCAAGTGCCTGCATTCACAAGGACTTTTCTTAAAGCCACACAGCCCTCACACAGGAAATGAAGAAAAATTATCGTACACAGGACTCCAGCTACATAATCTTTTAAAGCAACTGCTAAATCTTAGTTTAATATTCTTTAACATTTCTTAAAATCCCCCAGTCCAAAAACACGGATGCAAGAGTGTTTGGCCTTGAAGCCAAAAGACCCAGATTCAAGCCCCGCTTCTGACATATGCTAGCTGTGTGACAGTGACCATGCCTTAACCTCTCTGGGCATCAGTTTACCCATCTGTAAAACAGGTTTAATAAGACTCACGCTATCCACCTCAGGATTGTTTTAAAGATAAAATGTAATAATGGATGTATAAAATTGTGTCACCACAAAGAATTATGTAGATGTGAGCTATCACTATTCTTGACCAGTAATTACGGGAAATCTGTGATCAGAAAGGGAGATGAGACAGTCTTGTGGGGAAAATAAGGTAAAAGGGATGGACAGCTCACATGCGGCCTTGTAACCTACAAATCTAGCAACGCTCTAATGGAAAGCCCAGAGATGCTGGGGGGATCCTCCATGAAGAACATAGGGGAGACACAAACAAGAACAGCACAGAATGAGAAGGGGGGAGGGGCTGCGATCTGCACCAAAGGAGAATGGAGGAGATCAAGAAGTCGCTGCTCTTTTCTTTGCCTCCTCGAGTCCTTCACCACCTTCCAGGCTCCCCTCAGAAGCCAGCTCCTAGGGGAAGTCTTTCTTGACCCTGCCAGTAGTGACTATCATGCATTGACATATCTGCGTAAATGCTGGGACCCCAGCTCTAAGTAATGGATGGATCTGCATTTCATCTTCTTATCCCCAGGCCCTACTACATTATCCTGAACACGGAAGTGGGGGCGATTGGTGGGGGAGGAGTCTCTAGACCTGTTAATTCAAAAGTACCGATGCCAATCTTCTTCTGCAAGGTACAGTCTGAGAGAGCTGCCTGGGACACTGAGATACGGAGTCATTTGCCCCCGGTCACATGGCCAGCCTGAATCAGAAGCAAGACACCAATGATGGTCACACTGACTCCAACAGTCACGATACCACGGTGTCTCTTGCCTTGCACGTGATAGGTGCTTAAAAAAAGCTTGCTGAATTGAAGGATATGTTACTACTAACTACACTAATTCTCACATCTTGTCAGATCTTGCCAAATGCTAAACATAAAATCAAAGAATTTCAGAGCTGAAAGAAACTTTAGTAATCACATGATTAAACACCTTCAACTTTTAGCTAAAGAAACCGATGCCCAGGATCTCTAGATTAACTCTGTCAAAGACAGGTGGGCCCACCATTAGCTCTTCATTTCTCCTTCAGTGTTCTCAGAAGCAGTGGCCCAGATGATACAACAGCAAACAAACCCAAAATGGCACCGGCTGGCTTTGAAAAGCATCGTATGAAATCATTTTTATGGAAAACGGACCTTCTTCATTATGTTCTGTTTAGGTGAACAGTAAAATTCCTTTGCATTCTTCAACCTCGCCCTGGCTAAGGGTTAGGTAGGAATCTGAATGTCCCAAGTCCCTGGAGCAGCTGAACTGGGAACAAAGCTTAGCTATGAATAACACACACGTGGGTAATCACAGGGTTGTGCTGACCTGTACTGAAGGCAGCCACTGGCAGGTGAGTGGGGAGAGGGCCCATAAGGACCCACCATCAATTCAAGCAATTAAAACTGTAAAAACGAGTCTTTAGTTGAGAACAGAAATGGAAACAAGACACCTAACGCCATGTTTTCACTTGGCAGCCATCAAGCCGGTTTTATGTATACTCAGGATTTCACTGGTGGAAGGAAGCTCCTCCTGCCAATGCAGTGCAGCAACATTCTGCCATCTCAAAACTGAGAATCTTGGGCATGAAATGCTCATGTGCCTTGTCGAGGGTGACAGCGTCAAGTGTGCATCAGAAGAGGGACACGAACCCAGGTCTTCCTGACTCAGAGGCCAGCACTAAACCAGACTGCTTCTCCCATTCTGCACTTCTACACACAGCCACAGACACAGATACGTACGTGTGTGTGTGTGTGTATCTATCTATCTGAATGCAGATAGATCGAAGTCTAGATCTATCTCTATCTCTAAAGACAGAGATAGATATAAACACTTAAAAGGACAGACAGCCCAAATGCTGCACTGGTGTTCATTAAATATCAGAACTTCCCAACAAAGACCTCTAGCACAAAAAATGTATTACATCGATGAGAAGGGTGAATGAGGCTGTAAGCCAAACCAGTGAAGAAAATACCCACACTGATCACCAAGGAGATGACAGATTCATTAAAGGAATCCATCCACAGAATCCATTAGTCCTCATCAGTGACAGAAAATAAATCAGCTCACCTAAACAGATTAATGTTCAGAGATCACGAGGGTCCATTTAATGAATCTCTGCCAACATATTAAATTGTATTTCAATGTACTAAAGTAATAAATGCAAAAGTTAAAAAACCTCATTGGCATTAGTGATATCAGGTCCTACAACTGCAGCTCTTACTGAAACACCATATGCAAATCATCTACTTACCTGTTTCAGTGCCAAGTTGCCTATAATTAGGTTCCACTTTTCAATGGGGGAGTCCATCTTCCCAATATTTACCTGTTAAAAATCATATTTTCATGCATAATTCTGGATTTCATACATAGCTCTGTAAAAATATGAATGTGCTTTGCAATTAAAACTCCAAATGAAGTCTTAAAATATAAACAATTATATAGGAAAAAATTCAGTGTGCCAAACTCCCACTATATAAGGTTAGAAAAAGCTATACAAAGTGAAGTTTATCAAAAAGTATTCTCCATCATGCTGTGATGCAATTTAGCTCTAAAAACACCACATCCTGCTAGCTCTTTCTCTTCCAATCATCTCTTCACCTGCCGACTTCCTACCCATCCTTCAGGACTCCTTCCTTTATGAAGGCCCTTCCCAGGGACCTCAGAAAGCAACTCATCTGGTAGGTATTGTCATGTCTTTGTAACTTATCCTCATCTTAGATTGGAAGCTATGGGAGAGTAGCTTTCTCCTTTCTAACCTTAAGGAAGGATCTTGCTTCTCAAATACATTCTTCACAACAGCCTAATGAGATAAGTCATCCACATATTACCCTGATTTAATAGCTTCAGTCTAGTTCAACAAGCATTTACGAAGTGCCTATTAGGGCAAGTCACTTGACCCTGTTTGCCTTGATTTCTTCATCTATAAAAGGAGCTGGAGAAGGAAATGACAAACCACTCCGGTATCTCTGCTAAGAAAACCCCAAATGGGGTCATGAAAAGTTAGACACGAATTAAAAAACGACAACTATGTGAGCTGTAAGGAATACAATGACAAACCTCAAGTGGCCCTATTCTGAAGATCCGTGACCAGAATACAAGCTCCATGAGGGCAGGGGCTATGTCTTACATAAATGGTGTACCTCTTCTAAAAGCCAGCATAGTGTTTTAAACACCTTTGAATGTGGCCAATAAGGAAATTTTCTTCATTTGACTACTGAAGGGTTATGAAGGGTTTTCTTTTTGTAGCTGTTATATATAGGGTTTTTTGGGGGGGGGAGAGGAAAGTAAGAGGAGAAAAAACAAATGCTCTATAATTGAAAATATAACAGAATTAAATGTATGTCTCATTCTATACCTCTAGTCTACCACCTCTCTGCCAACAGGTGGGAAGCATGATTCATCATCAATCTTGTGGCGACCGTTCATCAATCTTTTAGAATCATGATTAATCATTGTATTAATCATATTTGTAGTCTCTCTAATTTGTTTTTCTTTGCAATATAGAAGTCATTAAATAAACTATTCTCTTGGTGTTGCTAACTTCACTAAGTACCAGTCATATAAATCTTTCTAACTTCTCTGACACTATCCCTTTCATCATTTCTATTGCACAATAATACACCATTGCACTCATATAACACATTTCATTTAGCCATTTCCCAAATGATGGGTACCCACTTGCTTTGATACATAAAGGCACTGCATATATGTGTATCTTTTTTTTTACTTATGGCTTTCTTTGATTTCTCCAGGATACATGCTTAGTAGTAGTATTGAGTCAAAGGGTATGTACAATTTAGTAACTTTGGGGATATAAAAACAGCCTCTTAAATCTTATTCTAGTTGGCTATTAATATATCTTTTTTTCCAAGGAAAATAATTTTTAAGATTGTATACTTTAGGGCCAGACTCACTCCAACTTCATGATGCCTTGGTGTGCCAACAAATTCCTTTTGTCTTATTTCCTGAGTTTGCCTTTAATTGACCAGGGTGAGGCCCAAACTAGGATTTTCTTTTAACAATTTTGGCAACCAGAAAGGGAAGGAGGCTATCATTGGGTGAGCCCACCATCCAACAGTGAGGCTGGCACTCAGACTTTTGTCTAATTGAGGGTCACAGCAGACTCTCTCAGCAGTTAGTCAGCCATGGTCGGAGAATTAAACTCCCCAAATTCAGGAAGGAAAAGGAGAAATAGGTCCTCAATAAAAACTCTGATTCTTTCTCACTTGTGCAGGAAAAAAAGAAGAGGCACTCTTGGAAGAAGCAGGGGTGAGTAATAGTCTTGCTCTGCGCCAGAGGGTGGCCAAAAGGCAAAGGGGGACTAGTATCCATATGGGATTGGGAAGGATCGGGTCTCCTGCTGACTCCCAAATACGCAAGCTTGAGACGTGAAAAACCTGCCAGTTTACATCCACAACTTATGAGGTAAAGTTCAGTGTGGATAATTGTGGAATAAATTTGGTCAGATAAATATGGGATTTGATTATTGCCAGCTGTGGATGTGAAAAACTAGACTTGAAAAATTAGAGCCCAGGAGAAAAAGAGAGAGGAAGGGAGAGGGAGAGACAGAGACAGAGAGACAACAGAGAGCCAGAGAAACAAAGAGACAGAGACCACGGCACTCTTAAGAAGCCACTTGTGCAGGGATTGAGAGAAGGACGTAGAGCTTTGGTGAGCGGGCACAGCAGTGAGGTGGGCTTGATGAGGCTTCCACTTCAGAAGTTCTCTAGTGCACACAAGGTCTCTGACCTGGAGAACCTTGGAGGGGAATACCTTGTCACTCATTAAAAAGAGACAGCCCAGAAAGGAGCTTAGAAGGCTGGGGTCTCAACACAGCGAGCCCAGCTGTTGGTATCATTAAGCAGGGACTCTCACTGACTTTTGATTAGGCTTTCAAAGGGAGGTTAAGGAAGGGAAAAAAAAAAATTGAGATTTTTTTTCTCTCTGTCTTCACAGCCCTGGCCGGGTTGGAGACTACAGAGATAAAGACAGACAAGAAAAGGAAGGAAATCTTTTTCCTAGTTTGTAGGAACTTATGACATTACAAACTAATTAAGAGATTAAAAATTGTAATGAAATGTAATATTTTTACTATAAATTTCCAAATTATGATAACTGCTAAAATACTTTAGTGGACTTTGGAGGCTTGAAGCTAAGATTAAGATTACTTGCAAACAGCACTCTCCTCTCTCCTCTTCCTGAAGGGCATAGATATATTGTTCCAGTAAAAAGTGATTTCACTACTTACAGAATAAGCACAACTGAAGTTAGTTTGAAATGATTCAACAGAATTCAACTCTTCAAATAAATTAGTAGCAAAGTTACCTAAAGTGAAATAGACTATGCAATAAAGTGGTAGACTAGAACATGATCAAATAAGATAAGAAGGACTTAAGAAAATAGAGAAATGAGGAATCAGTGTGTAAAACAAAAGGTTAGTTTCAAAATTTGTGGTTGTTTGTCTGTTTTCAAAGAAGACCAATGACATCTCAGGGTGATGTCTTGACTTGCACACGAATTAGATTTAAGTGAGGCAGAGTTGCACAGTCATAAGTCTCACTCTCTCCTCCAGAGTCATCCAAGTCCAGTGGCAGGCCAAAAGTCAGGACAACTGAAGATGGTCTGGAAAACAGTGGATGACCTTGGTATCTCTGATGTCTGACCAAACTCTAAGTGCTCCACAGCACCTGTGTCAGCCGCCTTCAAGGCCACTGAACAAATTGTTCTCATCCACATATTTGCCAGGGGAAGTCTTCACATGCTTGGGGTAAACACCCCCTAACTCAATAACAGGTTTCAGGCCTGTTAGTTACCATCAACCTGATTTAGCCCATCTGCCAAGATGGTTCGCCCAAGGTGTGGCCTTTAGGTAAGCTACTGCTTCTTGGAGGTGACAGTTGGCTGGTAGGTAGACACCAAAGGCGAATGAGGAACCCTGAAAAGGGCTCTTTAAGCACGAGTGTCCCCGTAACATCTCTCCTGGGTCCTCTTCTTTAATTTCTCTATACTGTCTCCCATAAATTCAGTTGTTATATCTGTGTAGATGACTCGTGTGTGTGTGTGTGTGTGTGTGTGTGTGTGTAAAACATTTATATAGCACTTTGTGCCGGGCACTGTGCTAAGCACCTTACACCTAAGCACTCATTTGCTCCTCACAACAACCCTAGAAAGTAGATGCTATTCTTATCTTCATTTTACAGACGAGGAAACTGAGGCAAACAGGTTAAGCAACTTGCCCAGGGTAAGACAGCTAGTAAGAGTCTGAGGTCAGATTTGAACTCAGGTCTTCCTGACTCCAGGCCCGGTGCTGTATCCATTGCACTGCTTAGCTTCCCTTAATACACACACACATACGTGTAACCAGCCCTAATCTTGTTTCTGAACTATACTTAAGCATCACTACCTGTATGTTCAGTCAGCATTTCAAATCCAACACGTTTAAATTTGAAATGCCTGCCCAGCGCTGTAGCGTGGCCCGATGAAAAGACAGCTGGTCTTGAAAGCAGGAAGTGGCCCTTCTGACCCTCACTGGCTATGGGACCCCCTCAGTGCTCTGGGAAGCTCTCCACATTGCGGAGAAGGTTCTGATGTCCCCTGGTCAGAGGGAGCTTCTCTACAGTGGAGTGACCTATGCGATGGAATCAGAGATCCAGTCCCCCTCCCTCCCCTCCCCACCCCACCCCCTCACTAAACTTGGTTACTTTTGCTGAAGACAACGCCGCCATTTCACAGAGTGATCTCAGAGTGATCTTGGACTCTTCTCTACTATTCCCTTTATCTTCAGTTCCATCTCCCCAACTCCTCTCATATCACTCCCCTTCTCGACGTACTTCAGAGGCTTGGCACCTCTCACCTGGACGACTTTCCTGGTCTCCTCCCTGATGTCCCTCCTGCCAGTCTCCTCCACACAGCTCCTCAAATCACCTCCCCAAGGTACCTTCCTAAGTCACTCCATAGTCAAAAACCTCCAGTGGCTCCAGCGCTCCGGCTCTGCTTAGCATGTAAGGTTCACCACCCCAGGCGGGTGTAGAGACCTTTCTGTCCTTTTTCCTGCTGGTGCCCTCCACATGCTGTTCTCAACGGCCCAAGACAGACTGGCTGTTTTCCCAGCTGCTCGTTCAGTCTCTGGCTGCAGTACCAGCACTCAGACCTGCCTCACGCGCCATCCTGAGGGATGGGGAGTGCCCGTTCTCTCCAGGAATTACCTACAGAAGTCGTGCTCAATGCCTTGCATGTGGTGGGGACTTCAGCAGGGTGTGTGGAGTCGAGTAGAGTTTGGTTCTGGCTGGCACAGAGATGATGATGATGTCCTCAGGTGGGAGC